AGACCTGGAGGAAGCTCCTGGCTCCTGGCTTCGGATTGGCTCAGCTCCAGCCGTTGTGGCCAATTGGGGAGTGAATCATCGGATGGAAGACCTCTCTCTCTGCCTCTCCTCTCTCTGTGTAACTCTGATTTTCAAATATACAAATAAGTCTTTAAATAAATAAATAAATTTACTATTTGCATTTTAAAATCCTCAAATTTCATCTAAGAATCTAGATTTATGGCTTCTCTTGAAAAATACCACCTGGTAACCTTGGTCCTTACGGGCCCACCAAATAATAACCAACTGGAGCTCAGTAGCACAGTCCCTTCTGGATGGCTCTTGGATCACTCCAGTCCCCACCACTCTGTCCTTACGGTCATCATGGGACCAAGGGTCAGTTGCCATTTAATACTGTACTTGTGCTGTTGTGTTGTTTTTTATAATTAAAATAACAATAAAAAGAAAATGAACGTTTGTTGGACATACATCTGATCTTCTAATGAGTATACTGACACATTTGGGTCTAGCCCCCATAGGCATCTGGGTTTATAATCCTGCCGTTCCACTCCCCTTTGTTGCCTTTTTTTATTGGGGGAGGAAGAGAGAGAGACAAGCAGAGAAAGAAGCAGAGAGACAGAGACAGAGAGACAGGGAGTGTGAGCTCCCACTGTCTGGTTCAATCCTCAAATGCCTAAAATAGTGAGAATCTGAAACTCAATCCAGATCTCACACTGGATAGCAGGGACCCAAGTACTTGAGCCATCACCTGCTGCCTCCCAGGGTCAACATTAGCAGCAAGCTGGAATTAGGAGCTGAAAACAGGAATCAAACCCAAGCATGCCAATATGGGACACAGGTGTCTTAGCTGGTGCCTTCCCCAACTGCCTTTTTGAAGAGGGAAAGCTGGGCACTCCCATCCTGAGCCAGCCCTCCTGGAGTCTCTGTCTGGGAAGGTCCTTGGTGGCTCTGGTTAGAGTTGGTCTCTGGACCATGGAGGCAGGCCAGCAGTTGAGAAGGAAGAATGGATCTCCAGAGGACCCTAGCAGTGGAAGATGACAGAATTATCCCTTCTTTTTAAAAATTTTATTCATTTCAAAGTCAGAGTTATAGAGAGGCCAGGTGTAGGGGTGAGACATAGAGATCTTCCATCTGTTGGTTCACTCCTCAAATGGCTGCAATGACCAGGGCTGGGCTAGGCCAAAACCAAGAGCCAGGAGCTTCTCTTGGGCCTCCTATGTGGGTGAAGAGGCCCAGGTACTTGGGCCATCTTCCACTGCTTTCTCAGGCACATTTTAGCAGAGAGCTGGGCTGGAAGAGGAGCAGCTGGGACTGGAACCGGCACCCATATGGGATGCCGGCACTGCAGGTGCCAGTTTTACCTGCTACGCCACAGTGCCGGCCCCCAGAATTATCCCTTCTAAGACCAATTGTCTAGTCTAGCTTTCAGATCCTTATCTGGAAAACTGGCACAGGGACAGTACCATGTCTACTTCACAAGCTTATTATGGGAACTAAAATGAAGCAGGGTGTGTGTGTGTGTGTGTGTGTGTGTATAAATGAGGGTCTTCAAAACGCTTATGGAAATGTATATTCTGAAAAAACTATGTATAGATTTCAAAATTGTGCTATAATAAACATCTTTAAATTTCTATGAAAATTGTCAAGTACCCTGGTACAGAGGAATGTTCCACAAAGATGAGCTGTTTCTATTATTATTACTCTTCCCATTGCTTTCCCTTTTGTCACCTCCAGGCCTTTAACACATGGCTTTTTCTGAAAGCTTCGGCCTGATCTAGACAACACTGTGGTGCATTCAATGACCCCCATGGTGGGTCCCTGCTTCTTCATGCTGAGGCAGTCTCCTTTTGCGCCAATTGTGCAAGTGCTAGGTGATGTTTTAAGGAACATGGCGCTTTCTACTATAGAGAGAAGGCAGTCTCACCTTTCTCAAAAGGACCGTTCCAGGCTCCTTCATACTTTTATATATACTTTTACCCTCGCTGTTTCTGTACCCAGAATGCCCTCTGACCCCTGTCTTCTTGACAACCTCCAACTCATCTTTTCGGACTCAGCCCAAGAGTCACCTTGGAATCCCTCTCTGAATCTCTTCCGTTTCCCTAGACAGAGCTGATTGACAAGCCCACCCTCTACTGGAATGTGAGTCATGCAAGTTCGCTGAGGGCAGGGTGGGACATAGGTCTTGTTCCCTGTGTCCCCACAGCCTGGCACGGAATGGGTCCTCAGTAAATGCTCTTTGAAGAACAAGGAGGAAGGTGCTGTGGAGAAGAGAGGGGTTCAAGAGGAAGCAGTGGCAGCCTCTTTTCTGGGGCTCTCTTGTTCTCAGCAGACTTAAACCTAGTTCTACCTGGCATCGTAAATCTGTGTTCTTCAAACCAGCATCGTAAACCTCTATGCCTCTCCCCAGCCTCCTCTAAGGCTCTCCTGTAGGGTAGATGGATGTGACTGCTTTCAGAGTCTTTCCCAACTCTCAGTATGCCCCTACTCCTTTGAACAGCCTCCTGCTATAACAGATCCACAGGATTCCCATACTCTGGCTTGTCAGGGTGCCTTCAAAGCATTGAGAATTTTCTAGGGATCCCCCCTTAGCCCATTCCCCTTCAGGTCCTGCTCTGCCACTTGGTCTTTTTTTCCAGCCAACGTATTGGAATCTCCAATGCTTCCAAACAAAGGGGGGTTTCCAGCACTGGGATGCTAGTTAGGGAGCTATTTCTGGATGAGTAGGTTCCAACATCCCTTCTGTCATACCCCACAGTTTGGCCCCTAAATCAAGAGGGGATCTTCCTCCATTTGTTCTAAGCATCAGTCTTTTGTAGAAGAGCATGTTAATACAGCTGGATGAGATTTGTCTCACCAACCCTGCCACTTCTGTTAACAGGAGTGTAGGGGCCCCACAGCTCTCTCAAGTCTTCCTCCTCCCACCCCCATCCAATGTGGGCCCAGTCACCATCTCCTATCTCACAGCAACTTCTCTGTCCTGTTTCTTTGAGATGTTCCAAGTTCCTTTGCCAGGAGTAGCCTGCCTGCATACAAAAACAACTTGAGAGCCATTACAGGAAAGTGCATCTTTCCGAAAGGCCAGATGATTCTAAGGCATTAACATACACCTTTGCGATCCTGTCTCAGGAGGAGCTAATGTTTCATAAGCTGGCTGACACTGGGCCAAGAAGTGCTCTGCACAGTGGTCCTCCAACTCTGAGAACACATGCCCTAGGACCCAGGGGGTGCCGGAAGAGCCAGGCGTGATCTAGGGAGCAGTGAGAAAACCCAGGATGTGAGTTCTCACACAGTGCCAATCTCAGATGCATGCATGAGTGTGTGTGCATGCACACACACACACACACACACTCACAAATACACATCCAGAAACACAGGAGGGGCCACGCTTTGGCACAAAAACACCACCCACATTCTTGCTATAAGACCCACATGTGATTTGCCAACAAATTGCAAATTAACCTCCTAGTGAACAGATTAATGGTATTCATGGTAATTTACACTCCAAGTTTCATAGCAACAGACTTTGAGCATTCTGGTTGCATAAGAATTCAAGGATTTTTAAGTTCCTGGAGACACTGTAGTAATTAACCTGATAAGCCTATGCAAATTAGCCCCAATTTGACACTGTCATTTTTTGAATCCAATATCCAGGGTATTTGCCCAGAAGGTTGCCCGTCACGGCTCCAGATCCTTGGCTTGAGGTGCTAAGCTGACAGATGCCAGTCTGCATTTGTGTATGCAAATGAGGCCCCAGAGCAGAACTCCCTATCAGGCCCAGAAAGGGACTGGACAGTTACAAATGGTCCACTGCACCACGATTAGAATGGAGTCAAGGCGGCCAGGAGGAATGGAGAGGGCCCCCAGCCAATCTGCATGGGACTGACAGAACTATCTTTTTGAAGGTCCTTGGTTTGGGAATCGAAGTTCCTGACTTACACAAGAGTTTGGGCGTTCTACTTGAAGGTCAAGAAGAAGCGGTCTCCTTGTGGCATACTGTCAAGTGCCACCAGAGCTTTTGTTTTTCCACAAAGATTAGCTTCCTAAAATTAACCCAAAAGCTGGGGTTCCCAGAAGGTGAGGTTTAATTGGTTCTATTGCCCATTTTGAGCAAAAATCACAGAATGTACTCACCACCCTCATCAAATCAATCAGCCTATGGGCACAGCTTGTGTGCTCTCTCCATGGGAGGACTAGTTCCTGTCTAATAATGTGGAGCCTCAGGGGGTGGCCACTCCTCCCCCATTGCCACACTGAGCTCCATCCTTGACCTGCTTCTTGTTTGGTCTCTTGAGCCAACAGGGCTCACCAAACTCCCTGGTTAATGCACTTTATGCCTCCTGTTCCAAAGGGCGCAGCAATAAAGTGCCAGAGAGAGCATCCTTGCCCACTGACTACCCACTGCTGCTGCCCAGCTCAGCACCCCCTAGGGCTCAGATGGCTGCCCTTTGAGCTGCAGCCCCATAGAACAGCTTTGTCAAGTCTCCATTTGTGGGAAAATAACTGCTGAGAACCTGTTCAGGTCACTCAGACCCAGCTTTCTGCTAATGGGCTACCACCTGGATCTCAGAATTCTTTCTGGAAGGTCAGGCCAGCCAAAGTGGTGATCATAGCAACCTCATCACGTCTGAACAGCTAACACTCTGAGGTGATAAAACACTTGGAACTTACATCAGTGCTATTCAGTAATAACTATCTTTATCTGTCTTCCTGAGCAACCTTTAAGCTAAAAGTGTTTGAAAGTGTTGGAAGGCCTCCCGCACAGTTACTGGCTTCCTCTCTGCATGTGCGTATCTAGCCATTATCCCAAGATAACTACGGCCACTCTCTCTCTCTGGTCTACCTTCTCATTCTCATTATGCCCACATCCCTGTCCATCCAGGCTCCAACCCATCTTGTTTGACTGCCAGTAACACTTAGTGCAGCTGCACTGACTCCCAGTCTGTAAAGCTCAGGACTCCAGGGGCCACAGGGTACTACAATAGGGATGCAAATCCACATACCTGGAAGAATTTATGTGTGGACGCAAATGATCACTGAAGAGGATGATGAGGATAAAGAAGAAGATGATAGCAGCTCCCATTAGGGCAGAATTTGCTACATGCCAGCCACCTCACATGAGCTCTACACACAATATCTCATTGAATCTTCTTGACAACTCTGTGAGCTCGGTGCTATCATTAGCCCGCATCTGCAGATGAGGACACGAGGCAGAGGTTTAAGTAACTTGCTCGAGACCACACAGGCAATAAATGGCAGTGCCAGAAATCAAACCATGGCTAAGAAATGTCAGAGACCAGTTATTAAAGCACCATTGTGAAACATCTCACACACGTTTATATCACTACTTTCCAAATACTAGGCAGATGTCCTAATGATTAACAGAATGCACATTCATTTTTATTATTGCTTTTTAAATTTATTTGAGACAGAAAGAGAGAGCAAGACATACAGGTAACAGACAAAGAGAGCCTCCCATCTGCTGGTTCATTCTCCAGATACCGGCAACAGACAGAACTGGGCTTGGACTGCTATCCAGGTCTCCCACATAGGCGGCAGGCACTCAATTACTGAAGCCATCACCACTGCCTCCCAGGGTTGCATTGGCAGAAGCTGGGGTCAGAAGCCAGAGCTCAGAATTGAGCCTTGGTGCTTCATTATGGGGTGTGGGCAATCTTAACCACTAGGCTAAGTATATTTTAAAATATCATTGCATTCATATTAGTTTGTGGTCACTATGTGTTTGTAAATCAGTGGACACTAGAGTAGGATCACTGTCAAGAGGTATCCAGAATGAATGTGGGTTCTTGGCTCGAGCCACGTTGAGAACCGTGGGCATTTTGTTCCCAGAGTACTCCCAGCCCATGTCTCCTCACTCACAAGGTTATACATTCTCTCACCCACTCACCTTCTATTTTATCTCAACGATGCTGTGCAGCTCAGTAGATATGGGAGGGGTGCGGAGCCACATATAAAGCTACCTGCATATTCAATCATCTTACACAAGTGGGTACTGAGGTCCTACTATGTGTCACATACTATTCTAGACACCAAAGATACGGCAGGGAACACAGAAATGAGAACTCCCGGTCTCGTGGAGCTTGCATTCTAGTGAGAAAACACAGACAATAAACAGATAAGTAGGGAAAATGCTATAAAGTTTAGAGAGTAAGCGCTTTGGAGAGAAATAAAGCAAGAAAAGGGGATACAGGTTTGGAGACAAGCAGTTGCAACTTTGAAGATGGTGATCAGGGAGGGCCCTACTGAGGAAGTGACAACTGGGCAAAGAGAGCCGAAGGAAAAGAGGGCGTGAGCCACGTTGCTGTCCAGGGAAGGAGCCTGTCGGGCATACGCAAAGAGTAGCACGGACAAAGGCCCCGAAGTGGAGTGTACCTGGGATGACCAAGGAGTGTCCAGAAGGCCAGCACTGCTGGAAGAATATGGGAATGCTTATGTGTGTAGAGGTAGATCAGGAGTGAGATCTGTTACTAGATCTCCAAGCGGGCTATGAGGCACACCTTAGCCTTGCTTGCAGATCTAACCGTAGCTAAAATTATGAGACAACCATTCACGCCTGCCAGTCCTCAATCCCTAGTCCTTCCTTTTGCTTCTGTAGAAGTCCACCGGCCGCCTCAGAACTCAGGGCCTCTGCAGTGCTCTCTGGCATCCAAACCAGTCTCCCAGCCCGAGGAACAGAGAGCATGACTTGGGAGTTCCACAGATCGGGGCTTGTGGGAGTTGCTTTGAGTAAGTCACCTACTTCTCTGAGGCTCCATTTCATTATCTGTAAAATGGAAGTAAAGAGTAATTGTGAAGGTTAAATGAGATAACACGTGTAAAGTGCCAAGCCCAGTGCCTGGCATACAGGAAAAATGCTCAAGAAATGGTAGCCCAGGCATAAATTACAGAGAATAATCTGTGTGCTTTTAGTCTCTTTTAAAAGGCCTGTGGATTTCTTGCAAGGAAAATTTCTGAATATACTAATTGTGGATTGTCACCAGAAAGAAAGAAAAAAATCCAGTACAACCACTAGTGCATCCTAAATAGTTGGCATCACAAATGGATGCTGATACATGGAAGGGTTAGAGGCCACCAGCAACAATGGTTACCCTTGCCCAGGTGGGTTTGCATTTAGATTTAAGCCAATGGGGCTCTGAACCACAGCATTGCCAGTGTCACTGAACAAAGGAGGAATTCGAATGAAATCTTGGATCTCGTGGTCCAAAGTGAAGATGTGTTTTCATAACCCCATTTCCCTTTATTCTGATATTTCTGCTCATGTTTGGAGTATGGGAGAGTCAGTTGCACTGCTCTAAACCCATAGTAGGTGACCTCTGGGTTGGTGGGCCCTCCAGTCCTACAGGTCTAACAGAGTGATCTTACTTTCACACATCTCTAGGCACTAAACAGCTGGCTCATCTCACCTCCTCCACTTCACTCTGAACAAACAATTCTGGCTCGCCACAGAAAGTGGTCACTGGGAAGGAAGGTTCTTTTTTTATTTTTGACAGGCAGAGTTAGACAGTGAGAGAGACAGAGAGAAAGGTCTTCCTTCCGTTGGTTCACCCCCCAAATGGCCACTACAGCTGGCACTGCACCAATCCAAAGCCAGGAGCCAGGTGCTTCCTCCTGGTCTCCCATGCGGGTGCAGGGCCCAAGCACTTGGGCCATCCTCCACTGCCTTCCCGGGCCACAGCAGAGAGCTGGACTGGAAGAGGAGCAACCGGGACAGAATCCAGCATCCCAACTGGGACTAGAACCCGAGGTGCCGGCGCCGCAGGTGGAGGATTAGCCTAGTAAGCCACGGCACCAGCCAGGAAGGTTCTTGATGACAACCTCCATGAGACCTTGCTGAGAGCCTTGCCTGTGTCATAAACAGGGGTTAGGGCCAGCAGCACCTGATTGCACAGAATGGGTCCATACTGGACAAGTCTTGCAGATCAAATTTTCACATATCAGAGCTGATTTCCTATTTAACTTTTAACATAAAATTGGTGATGTGTTTCTCTGAGGGGGAAAAACCGGGGCCCTGAGACTTAATAAAAATCATGTTTATGAATGCAATGTAGCAACACACTTGAAAATCACAAATACGAGTGGAAAAATGAGAATTTCTTATAAAATATTAACAATGCCCCCAAATGAGTTGCAAGATGTGAATACAAAATAGCTAGTGTTATTCTGATGTTTGGCACAATAGCTTGAAGGCCTAAAAGAAAAACAATGACAGCTTAACTGAACGGAACACACCGGACTGAAAAGTTGCCCAGCTTATAAAATTGCCTTTATAATGTTCTACAGCAGGGGACTGTGGAACATTCTTTAGATGCTGGGATCCTGAGCTCTAGTACTCTGGAGAAGTCGCTGAGTTTAAGAAATGAACAGGTTGATCCGGGCCAGAGAACAGACAAAGAACAGCCATGGCATGATTTAAACAGGCCCCAGGAAATGAGTTAATTGGGAACAAGGGGTATGGGGAAGATTTTCAGATAACCCAAGACTCAGAAGAATTGAAACTTCCATCAAACGAGTCTTCCGGTAACATACAAACAATCAACCTCCCAATTTCTAAATGTTGCTTCAGCTAATGTTTTTTCATGGAGTTCCCAAACAATAATAATTCATAGGAAGGCCTTTTTAGTCTTGAAATGAGGGTATTTTTTTTTTAAAGTTTAGGGAAAAGTGGAATTCAAAGGTAAGTTTATTTTGGTGTCAAATACTTTGAAATCCATGTATAGTTTTTTCATAGTTTGTATTTTTCATGAACTTTTTGAAGAACTGCCCCCCCCCTCATATTTTCCCAAAGTATGTTTCAGGGAACATGAGTCCCATAAGAGTCTTGGTAATGAAATGCCGCGAGCAGAAGTTTGAGAAACGCCATGTACTCTAAGTCCGTGCTTTGCAGAATTGAATGCACACACAAATCACCTGAGGATCTTGTTTCAACGCCACTTCTGCCTCGGAAAGTCTAGGAGGGAGGCCTGAGATTTCGCAGTTCCAGCAAGCTCCCAGGTGATGAATGTGCTGCCAATCCTCAGATCACACTCTGAATGGCAACGCTGTAAAGGTCCTCTTGGAGATTCCTGGTTCTTATTAGTATATTAAGGGCTCTGTTAAATCCTGCAGTAGAGTTTAACTTATTTAATCCAGCATTTATCAAAGTCGTTTGTACCCAGAAATCTTTTTCTCCCCATGGTACCTATTCAGCCCTAGCATTCGAGGTCCCATGGATGCCCATTTGGAAAATGTTAGTCAAGCTGATACTACCACACCTGGAGTGACTTTGAATGATCTGAGAAATGTACCTTTGGGGTCATGGCCACAGACCTCCTGTACAGCTAGTTAATAGCTCTGCAGAAACACAGGTATGCCAGGGCTGTGAACTGCCACTGGTTTTGAAAGACTCCCAGCTCAGCGATGGCAAAATAGCATAAAACTCTATTTACCATCCTGCCTTATTCACTACCTTCCATAGTGCTTTACAACCTTAATGTGGATTGTGCTGAAATGGAAGCAGGGAAAAATGAAGAGATTTGGAGCGAAGAGGAGCTGGCATTTTCTAAAGAGGAAGGAAATGAAGTGATGGGCAAATGACAGCGAAAGGAGACAGAACTAAGGGACTCAGGTTAGCTGGGGTGAGGAGGACAAAGGGGGTGGCACCAGCAAAAGATGCTAGTATGCAGATGCTGTGGGTACAATAAGCAGAGAACCTACTCCTGTGAATGTGGAGAAGGAAAAAAACCAGCAAGAGTCATCTTGTTTACCTGGCCTCTGCCTACACAGGTCTCGGCTACTGTATTTTCCCAAAGTTTGGCTGTAAAAATGCTTTGGCCAGGAGGCCGTCTCTAGGCAGATTTCCTATTCTCCTGGCACTGGCTGTCAGATGGGAAGCGCTTGGGTTGTCAGTTCATCAGGAGAGCATCTGCTCTCACCCATGCTGCCTGGCCACCCCAGCCGGTCCTGGTTAGCAGTCCAAGAGAGCTCTCCAGTGACCAGACACCAGCCGCAAACAGCTCTCCCAAAAGGGTAGCAAGAAGAAACGGACATCTCTCTTCAGGCAGAACCCCTCATGTAACAGGCAGTACAGCAGAGGAGGTAAGGTTCTAGAGTCACACAGAGGTCACATCCCAGCCCTGCCACTCACTAGCCATGAGGTCGTGGGAGTTAATTAGCCTGTCTAAATCTCAGTTTTCTCTTCTCTAAAACAGGGCTAAGAACAGTGTCTGTTTCAGTACAATATGATGCAGAATGATTAGGGCAATCCTTGTAAGAGTTTTTAAGACAGTGCCTGACACATATAAACTCAATTACTACTAACTGCTATTCATATTATTTATCTTTATTAAAGCCTTAGTGCAGTTTTTAGATTTATTTATTTATTCAAAAGGCAGAGTTACGAGAGAGGGAGACACAGAGAGAAGACAGAGACAGAGAAAAGACATCTGCTGGCTCACTCCTCAAATGGCTGCAATGGCTGGAGTTGGGCCAATCTGAAGCCAGGAGCTAGAAGCTTATTCTGGGTTTCCCATGTGGGTGCAGAGGCCCAAACACTTGTACTATCTTCCACTGCCTTCCAAGGCACATTTGCTGGGAGCTGGATCAGAAGTGGCATAGCCGAGATTTGAACCAGCGCCCATATGGAATACTGGCACTGCAGCTGTAGTGGCTTAACCCACTACACCACAGCGCCAGGCCCAGTGCAGTTCTTAGTACAAAGAAAGTGCCTGACAAATGATAGCTGATATGATTATGTGATGACAATGATGTTGTTTACCGATGATGAAGGAGCTTGCTTTCTCTCAGTCATGCCTTGGAGGTTGGCATTAGGTAGTGGTGTGGTTTGAAAGGCATTGGGGTCAGAAAGCCTGATGGTAGGTGGTCAGTTTTCACAGTTGTAAAATGCAGACGATAATACAGACTCTCTGCCTCCCCATTGTGAGGACCCAATGAGATGAAGCACGTGAGATAGCAAGCCTGTGCCTGGTCCACCACAGACACTGATGGCTGTTAACCAGCTAGCTAGAGATCCAACCTCTGAGAACCTGACAGAGCTCTGGGAAGGAAAGCTTAAGGGACAGAGGCGTCCTCACTGTCCAGTTGTGAGCATCACGGAAAGTCCTGGGAAAGGCTAGTTGCCGTACCATGCACCTGTCCACACTTCCGATTCCAGCTTTCTGCTAATGTGCATCCTGGGAGGCAGGAGGTGATAATGGCTCAAGTAGTTCGTTCCCTGCCACCCACACTGAGTTCATGGCTCCTGGCTTTGGTCTGGCCCAGTCCCTGCTGTTGTTGGCATCTGGGGAGTGAATCAGGGGTTGAGTCTCTGTCTTCCCTCAATTTTTTTAAACTATGGGGAAATAATAATTTAAAAAAGAAGAGGAGTTAAAAAAATAAAACCTACTACACTATGCCATGCACACAGGTTTCAGACACCATCATATCCAATGGTTGGCATAGGAGAGTGTACAATAAATATTCATATTCTCTATCAAAATATTGTTGTAGTAATGATATCTGTACATCTTCCAGGTCACAAATCAGGGTGTTTTTCTCTTCATTTCAAATTCTGTCAGTCTGCAAATGGTCAAAATTTGAATAATAGCCATAAGGACTAGACAGCTACCTACAGGGACACCAAGACTCCCTCAAGTGGATACACAGAGGATCACTCTTGAAATGCTTTGCCAACTTAGTCCTCCCTTGCAAGATCTGGGCCCTGCTTCTTTGTATGAAAATAGCAGCGCATACATCTGTGACGGTTCTCAGAGCCAATGGAGATATAATGACGAGGACATTTGGGGTCCTTGTCAAAGCCATGTGGATCTGGGGTGAAATGTCAGTCTCACCAGCTGGTACCAGAATCCTTCTTGGATTCTGTCTTTAGGAAAAGAGTTTAATAAGCTGCTGGACTTGATGGCATGAGTAGGAAGGAGCCAGGGAAAGGGAGGAGAGAGTTTAACATTGTGTGGTATCATTGAACAAGACTTTAGGGTTGTGAGGTGGGCAGAGCGGAGAGGAGTAGATGGAGGAAAAAGGAAAAGTGAGGAACAGGATGGAAGACTGGAACTCGCCTGAGAAAATGACCAAGGGACTTCTTAGGCCCACGATTCCTACTTTAAAACTGTCACTTGCTTATGCTGCTGTGAGACAAGTCCTCTGGCTCCCCAAAGCCTTTTTTCAACATACACATTCCCTTGGGTGAATGGTTATTTGTGTGGATTTAAGGAAGAGCGTGAGGCTCCACATTTTGGTCGACATGAAAAGATGCAACAGGTGCACGGTGTAAACCAGCACTTCCTAACTGGCTGCACTTTAGAATCATTTGGGGAAGCCTTTGAAAACCAGAAGTGCCCCCAGGGCATCCCCTGAGATGAGGCTAGAATCAGGCTTGTGTGGGGCCTGGTAGCAACGTGTTCGGAGAGCGCCCCGACTGTGCCAGGCAACCGCTGTGGGGGACAAGGAGAAGAGAGGCCCTGTCTGCAGAGGCAGAAATCTAGAAGCATATGGATTCTGAAGGACTCTTATCTCCTGACGGGCAGGGGAGACCACGTGGCTATCCAGATTATAGGGATAACTGATGCCATTCATCTCTGAGTTCCTTCTCAGCTGTCTGCTTCTCCCTCCCTGTACAAGCAATGACTCCCAACTGAACTAGCCCATTGTGCTGCAAACCTCCCTCTTCCCTTCCCATCAACATTCTCTGCCCTGGATTTCATTTACTTCTGACCCTGCTCTTTGACAGGTAAAAGCCAATGATTCTGGTAGATGAAGACCTTTTTCCAAGACAAAATAAAAAATGTACTTTTTAACAAGGGCCTTTGGAAGACAATGCCTTGGCTCCAAGCAATCATTTTCAGGGGTCATGGCAAAGCATGGAGAGTTTTCCGTGGCTGGGAGGGGCCTGTGAGGGTCAAGGCGCCCCATGTAAGTAACTGCTGTGTGGGCAGACACCCATGAAGCTTCCTACTGGAGATCTATGTCTAAGAAATATGTTTCTGGAACAGCTGGACCCATTCTTCCAGGGTCACTGGAAACAGGATGCAGGAAAGGTTCAGGCTTACCTCAGCCTCCCAGGGCTCTTTCCTCATGCAATCATGAGTATCTTCCTCCCCACTCCTCCACACTCCCTCCTAGCTCCTTATCCCTCCAGCATTTGAAGCAGCTCTCAATGAAGTTAGCTTCACAGGGCAACTCACCTGCTCAACGTTCACTCCATCATGGACGAGGCAGGAGTCAGCACTGTAGCAGCAGCTTAGCTGCAGCCAGAGAAGGCAAAGGCAGAGGATGGCAGGTTGCACGTGCCAAAGCCCTGGTTTTTCATAGGCCCAGGTCTGAGGGGTGGATCATCCCATCTCAGCTCCTGAAGTTCAATGTGACGAATGGCTGCTCTTCAGTGCGTAAGCCACTGAGCAGGATAGAACCAAGCACAAAGGAACAGTACTCTTTCCTCTAGACCCCTGCTCGCCTCTACTCCTACCCTTTGCACGGGGACGATGGCCTGGTTTAAAGGGAATGAGAGTGAGTGAGGCCTCATGGTCCGCCGTGGGCTCCAGGTGCCTCGAGTTCCCTTTTCCCAGGGTCATTTACTCAAGGGCGGGAGCTGCAGTCGAGCAGACTGGAAACTCTACATCAGGATTAAACTTGTTAATTGCCTGAACTTTCTCAGAACTTCACAGGTACTTTTCGTATTGAACACAGGACGGAGGTGCTTTCTCAAAACCTGGTAAGCCAATTAAACCCAGGCAGAAACATACGCATTTTCTGTTTTGTTTTGTTTTTGACAGGCAGAGTGGACAGTGAGAGAGAGAGACAGAGAGAAAGGTCTTCCTTTGCCGTTGGTTCACCCTCCAATGGCCGCCGCGGCCGGCGCACCGCGCTGATCCGATGGCAGGAGCCAGGAGCCAGGTGCTTTTCCTGGTCTCCCATGGGGTGCAGGGCCCAAGCACCTGGGCCATCCTCCACTGCACTCCCTGGCCACAGCAGAGAGCTGGCCTGGAAGAGGGGCAACTGGGACAGAATCCGGCGCCCCGACCGGGACTAGAACCCGGTGTGCCGGCGCCGCAAGGCGGAGGATTAGCCTAGTGAGCCGCGGCGCCGGCCGAACATACGCATTTTCTAACATGCTTGAACAAAATTTCAACAAGCCACTCCATCCGAACAGAAGTAAAACATTTAATTTGGTCCAGGCTCCTTCTTAGTAGCTGGGAGATGCTTGTTTGGGAGCTCTGTCCCATGCCTCAGCCTCCCCCCACCCTGACCCCACCTCACCCCTACCCCTATCTGTCCCATCTGCTGAAAAAAAAATCGCCACTGACAAATTCCTCCAGTGGGGCCCCTGCGAAGAACCCACCCAGCCGAAGAGCAGTTTTCTGAAGAACTGTCTCACCAGCAGAGGAACCCAAGCTCCACGCATGGAGAAGCTCCCTTCCACTCCGGAGCGCCTTCCCCATCCCTTCCCCCTTACCAAATTACGTGGTTGGCTTGGCCCACTGGCGTGACTAAATTGGAACATTCTTTCAGGGTGTGTGGTTCTTTCCAAGAAGAGTTCAGAAGAACCAGGAAGCAGACATTTCTGACTGAGAGCAAACAGAATTTCTGCTTCCCTCCTCTTTCTAAGCCTCTTGTCTTGGCATGACCGTATTTGTAGGCTTCCCAATTAGCTCATGGCAACTGCTGGGATTTGAAGCCGCCTCTGGGAGACTGACTGGGCTGTTAGGGGTCCCAGTGGTCCTCCCAGGCAGCACAGAGACCGCTGCTGGCCTCTCTGAAGCTGGCTGGCTGTCCAGTATCCACTCACACTTGGACTTGCCCTGGGCCAGACATTTCCTAAAGGACCCAGCGTTCCTGGACTTGTCTCTTACTGACTCTCCCTAGATGGGCACCTCGGCCTTTTGCCTTGGCCCAAGTCCTGGCTCGGAGACCCAGTACCTGATTGTCTCTTTTTTCCCCCTGCTCTTCCCAGTAAGAGCTACACCAAGCTCCCCGCCCCCTGCCCCAAGGGAGCCAGCTGGAGCCAGTGATGACGCAGCTTGTCAGGGAAGGAGATTGATGGCAGGCCCTCTGCTTTCCTTCCCCGCCCCTTCTTCCACTGTCTGGCTCCTTCCAGCTCTGAGATTTGGGGAGGGAGGAAGGAGGCGGTCCGGGAGAATGCTTAGCTGCTCCATTCACATTCTTTATTCAAGGGCTTTAGCCGGTCCGCACTTGAAGGGGCTCAGGTGGAGAAGATGATGGACTTCCTGTCAGAGCAGAGAAATACAAAGAACACGGCTCCTTCCTTCTGGCCTCCCCCCCCTCCAAGGCCCCCGGCCTGCCCAGTGCTGGTCCTGACCTGAGGCTCCCTTCCTCCCCAGCAGCACTCCGTTGGGCCGTTTGCTTCAGGCCCATCTGGCACCATAATCCGCTGGCCTCTGGGAGAGCCCAGTGAGCTCATTTGGAAGCCTTCGCCCTGTACAGCCAGGCAGGTGGGGGGTGAGGTGCACACAGCCAGAAGGAGCTGGTCTGATCCCAAGGACTGGCGTGCCCCTCCACCCCTTCACACCACGCAGGCCCTCCAGCTCCTCCCCTGCAGCCCAGAGAGGATGCGTGGGGATCTGGTGGGATCTCGTTGTGGCACCAGGTGGACAGGACAAAGCTTTCAAGCTGACAGCCCTGGTGAAGGTGCTCTTTCGCTGTGAAAAGCACCACCAGAGGCCGCCAGACAGACAGACAGGGAGCAAGAGCAGAGAGCTTGGCAAGCCCCACCCCTACCCAGCCCCTGCATTAAGACCTGACAGGCCCAGGATGTGTTCTGGCTGCTGATTACAGAGGGGCAGCTGGGAGGGCAGGGCAGAGAAAACAGGGGACACAGCAGTCCGAGTCACGATTCACACAAACAGTTGGCACCATTCAACCAGGAAGGACATGGGCATCCAAGATGTGGTGGCTGAGCCAAACAGGTGGGCAGAACACAAGGGCAGAAAATCCAGGGTGGAGAGAGCTCAGAAATCTAGGACTCGTCACGAGGACGGGCCGTAGGACCCAAGCGAGCTGCCTCACCGCATTGCCTGCCCTGTGCTCAGAAGACGGCCGGCAAGAGCACCAAATCTCAGGCTGGGTCCCAGGGCTGCACAGGGCTGGCGAGGGTCTCAGCCTTAGGAACTCATGGTTGGCTCTCCTCAGGGTGCTGGAGCCCATGGCTGATCACACCCAGAGCCATCAGTGGTCTACTCAGTACCTTTTGTGCAAAAAGCTTAGAAGATGCTACTCCTCCCTGGGTGAGCACAAGCCCTTGAACAATATGGGAAATGTACCTCTTCTTCCAGGTGGAATCAGCCCTGAGCCAGGGTGCACCATTTGGGAAGCAGAACATGGACTAGATTTCTACTCCTTACTCATCCCCTTGGCCAAGCACATGTATGCAGTTCACAGCCTGCACAACTGTATGTGGGAGCCCTGAATGCAGCAGACAACTCCCCTCTCCTCTATATGGAGTCTCAGGGAGATGGAGCTATTAGGCCTTACCCACACCTCATCCTCATGGGTTTCAAACCATGGATAGGACTGAATGTATAGACAGGGACAGCTGCCCATCAACAGCTTTGCAACCCTTTGCACTAAGTTTTTTTTTTTTTTTTTTTGACAGGCAGAGTGGACAGTGAGAGAGAGAGAGAGACAGAGAGAAAGGTCTTCCTTTGCCGTTGGTTCACCCTCCAATGGCCGCCGCCGCTGGCGTGCTGCTGCCAGCGCACTGTGCTGATCCGAAAGCAGGATCCAGGTGCTTTTCCTGGTCTCCCATGGGGTGCAGGGCCCAAGCACTTGGGCCATCCTCCACTGCACTCCCTGGCCACAGCAGAGAGCTGGCCTGGAAGAGGGGCAACCGGGACTAGAACCCGGTGTGCTGGCGCCACAAGGCGGAGGATTAGCCTATTGAGCCGCGGCGCCGGCCCCCTGCACTAAGTTTTACTCCATCGTGAAAATAATGAGCATCTTCTGTATCCTCCAACCTCTCCCTTAGCCTCCCCTCTGCACAAGCCCTGCCCAACAGTACCCACACTCCTATTGAAGCAAACTCCATTATGCTCTGCTCCAAAAATTAGGCTATGCTGTCATGACAGTGATCCTCCATTTTTCTGTGTCCACCATGGAGACAGAGCCAGGTCCCTTCCTGCTCAGAGATTCCGGGACCCTGAAAATCCTACAATGCTCCTTCCCCCAAGGTTTGCTCCCTGGCTCCTCCTCTCTAGCAGTCCAACAGAGAATCCGCTGGCTCTGGAAGCTGAGGTGAGGAAAAATATGAGTCCCAGGGCAGAATCAAGTAACCCCTGCACTCAGAGTCAAGGGTAATAGGAGGTAGGCCAGGTGCAACACAAATCAAGGGCCTCAGAGTAGGAGCAAGGGAGATGGCCGGGCCTGTAGTGAGCCAGCGGCTACCTACTAACAAGCACTTCACTGACATTATCTTCATTGCAGAGTGGCCTTTCCAGTAAGCCTCTGCTGACAAAGGACAGGGAGGGGGAGCGGGCTGGAGAGAGAGCAAGGACCTACTGGAGCTTGGCCTGACTCCAGAGCATGACCACCTCGCTGCGG